AGTATGTTAAAAGACTACAGTAAGATCTGAAAGTCACGATAAGCTGAGGCTTATTCACAACAAGTAAAATACAAAACGCTGATGCTGACTTCATAGTGCAAGCATAGCTAGGCCATCTGAGAAGGCCTTCCAGTATATCTTCTATATTCATAATAATTTCAAGCTGGCTCCTAGGTGTCTGGTTACTCCTTAAAACTTCACATTTTTCCTGGATGTTAATTAGTTTCTTGAGACATTCCAAACCAGATAACCCCTTGTCACTGAAAGAGGTAATTCATTTAAATTGAAACTGTTCATATAACAGGATTTTCCCTGTCAATGATGGCTTGGGACCCTCTTGATTTACACAGTTAAAAGAATGCTTTGAAGAGGAGGCGGACTAAGGGTGTAAGAAAGCTGTAAAGCAGCAAACAGTGTGCTTCAAGAGGGAGAAGCACCATCCACTGTTTGTATCAAGAAGCTGGGATAAACAGATTGTCTCATTCCGTCGCCTGTTTAACCTTCAATGATCGTGCTAGGAACTTTGCCTGTCAACAAACCACGTGAGTGCCTTGGAATGGAGATCCCAGCTATCACTCTCTCTTTCCCTTTCTCCCTCTTTCTCTCTCTCCTTTTCTTTTTATCTCTAGGCATAGCTTTCTGAACCTGAATTTTGTTAATTAAGCTTGAGCTAGATTTCCCCAAATACTCAATTAAACCACGGTATTATTGTAATTATTTTTGTGTTTCCCCTTGCATGTCTGTTATTACTAGTACCATCATAAATTTCATATACTTAGCAATAAATAAATTTGATAGTCTAACTGGTGGTAACTGGGTATATTTTTCCTTCTCTACTTCCCCTTCCCTACTTGCTTTACAGCAACGCTTCTTCTACCTAAGCCAAAGATCCTTGTGAAGCCCCAAAAGACTGTGGGGTCCGCTCATCAAGAGGCTACCACTACTAGGACAGTTAGGGCAAAAGATTGGGACATGCTGAGTTTGAGACATATAAGGGGATCAGCCTACATAGGCTGATTGACCCAGTTTGGCTCAGACGTGCCCCAGTGAACTGAATGCAGGCCTATGAGGGTGTCAGCAGGACACCCAGCTGGATTCAGAGGTATTCTGTTTACCTGTGTGCTTGTGTCTGACTGCAGTTTATTGTTACCTTAATGAACTGATTCCTGGCATATGGGGATGTCAGCCTGTACATGCTGATCAACCTGGCCGAGTCAGGAGTATCACGTTAATCTATGTGAGTGTGTATGTATATGGCTGATTTGGTGACTGGAGAAACCCAGCCCCACTGAAACTGAGTCCTGCAAGATAGCTCCATTGGGGGTGAGGACTTGCAGAAGGGAGATATACAACTCCGTATAGAAACACAAGTAAAGGAGGCAGCACACTGATAGAATTACAAAGACCCTAGAAATGTATCTGTAATAAATGAGCACACCCCAAAGTGATGGGCAAATCTGGTAACAGGGTGGTTTGGATAATTGTTTAATGGTGGAAAATTCGCTGTCTTGTAGTCTGAGACTGAAGGAGCACTGCTAATAGAGTTTATAAAGAGAATTGAGGCTGCCCATCCCATGCCATTCTTCAATTAGAATCAGTTTTATCCCCCAAAGGATTCATTTAGTAATTACTTTCCTTTAGGTATATATTACAGCAGTGAAAGTATAATATATGATATTTCTACCTCTAACTGTAGTTTAGAAATCACCCTTTTCAGGAGAAATGCCAGTCTTTAAATGGCCCAAAATATGTTTTCAATTGCACCAATTTTACAAAATGTGAAGGATCCTGCATTTCATCCCCAGCTTTGAGGTAATCTGGTCAGGAAATTCAGCTGCTTAGCAGCTTGTAGTCCTTCTTATTCTCTTTCTGCTGCTTAAGTTTTATTTAAAGGCTATGCAATAAGGCAAGTACATCCTATTTACAAAATACGGGGAAGAAAACTTTTTGCTGGATGGAGGAAGGAAAGTTATCATCCTGCTTGATTTGAAGCCCAGAGTTGTTAACTATGTTGAACTAGTACTTCAGTTTTAAGTATGCCTGGGAATGGAGCCTGTATTGGTAGGCATGTGTCATACCCTCCTTTTTCTCCACTGTGTATGTAAAGAATTTGGGTAGGGCATTGTTTTATTAACGTTATTTTGACACTTGCATTTTAGATGGAATCAAATCTTCAGACAGTGTGTGTTAAAGTACACAAAGTTCTGTGAAAAACCCTTCAGAAAGTCTATGTAGGCCAGGCTACATTGAGGGGAATATCGCTGGGGAAATCAGCATTCTCTCTAGATGTAACATGTCTAGATGTAACAACATAAGGGGATGCATAGATGTATTCTTCAATATCAGCTTTCTGGCCTTTGATCATTCTTACACTTCTGTTACCCATTTCATCTCCAGCAACTTACATTAATAGAGTTATGGATCTTGCAATAAACAAACAAACAAACAAAAAATGCATGACAATTTGTTGAGGACTGTAAGGGTTAAGACAGAAGATAAAATCAAAGCAAAAGCCAAGAAGCGGAAATATCAGCAAAGTAATAAGCCTAAATGTGTACAGGATGTGTGGACAAATTTAATTAGTACACAGTGGCCACATCCAGGTAAGCGTGGACATTTGGTTCCACAGGGAGAAATAGCAGTGACAGACCTTGCGCTGCCATTACTTGTCCCTGGGGAATGCCTGTGCCATGTGCGCATTGGCATGCAGCAGGTTACCCTGGGTCAGGTAGGAGAGACTGGAGCCAGCACTGGGCTGGCCCCAACAGCCTTACCTGGGGTCCTGGAGGCCTCCTGGGGCTGCATCAGTGGAGATTCTGCCACGTGGAGCCTGGCCAGCAGCCAGAGCATGGCTCCAGGTGGCCCAGCTCCATTTTTGAGTGATGCGCGATGCCTGTGCAGAGCAGAGAACATCTAAATGTGCAGTATGTGGCCACATACTGAATGGCTGCACTCATCTAGACACGGCCATCTACATGTGTGCTTTTCTACAGAGTTGGCTAATTAGCTCTGCAGTAAAGCATCACCAACTAATTAACTCTGCCATAAGGTAGTATTGTTGGGGACAGTCCTATCTCATGGGGGAGTCATTCACTGCACTGCAACACATGTGTAAATGGTGATTTGGTGGAGGTCAGACTTCTGCCTGCTAGCCATGGTTCCACAGGGTCAGCACCCTCTTGCCCCAGCCAGTCTCTCTGTCATCCGACACTACCACCTGGAGCCTGGGGCTGACCCCCCCATACATCCTGAGAGCCTGGGCATGTTCCACCCCAGGGCAAATCATTGCTGTCCTGGGTGCATGTGTAGGTGCTGTGCACAGGAGCAGTTTACTCTGGTGCAAACTGCTCTGGAATTTATTGTGTTGCCTTAATTGCACATGTAGATGCACCCAGTGAGACATACTGCATTGCCTTTTATCACATTGTGAGTTCCAACACAGGAGGAAAAAAAACCTTTTTGTACAAATTTATTTTTATTTCTGGGATTTTCTACTGAACTTTAGATATCAATGGGCACAGCTACACATCACCCTACACTGCCATAGTGACACACTACATCACTGTACAACACATTACCATGACATAGTGATCACATGAGTCTACACGTGATCGGCAGCTACTTCGCCATAGCGGTGCATTCCCCCATTTAAGCACACTGCTACAGTGAAGTAGCAGTGAAAACTAGCCATGCACCATGTGCATGGCTCAGTATGGGCAGTTACTGCACTTTGCTTTAGTACTTCCAAAAGGAAGTTCATGCCTCAAATGATGAAATGCGTGCCATTTATCTCCTTCATTTCTCTGCAAAAAACATGATCAGCATTGAACTATATTTTTTATTCTTCCATTGATTTTTATCTCATAAGAGTTTTCATACAAGTATATTATGCACTTTCAGATTTCAGTAAAATTGAGTAAAATGCTTGATTCCAATATGGACTTCCTACTGTATATTAAGAATTAAGTTGCAAGCTTAATTCAGAAGCTTTTTTTCATCAGAGCTAGATCTTCAAAGACAAGCCTCACAGTATGATTCATTTCTATTAAATTAGTTATTTGTCCTCCATGTTGTAATCTTTTCCAAGAGCTATCTAACATAGTTTGAATGCAAATTCAACCCTAGGGAAATAAAATACATAGGAAGCCAATGTAGTCATATTCCATTTCCATTATTTCCTTCATTTGTTAATCTCAAATTTATTTCCATATAGTTTGCTGTATGTTTCAGATACAAGTGTTGCTCTTCTTTCACTTTATTATCTAGCTCAAATGCTATTTTCCTAGAATTAAGTTTTGTTTGTTCTGGGAAAATTTGTTCAAAGCAGCACTAGAGAAAATCTTTCATCGTAAATATTTATATTTATTATGACTATGATGTACATAAGACAATACTGGCTCATGTGTTCAGGTGAATGAGATGGGATATGTAAACAACTGCTAAGTTAATGAAATAATGCTTTCATTGTCTCAAGGGTATAGCACTATAAAAGGGACTATCTGTAGCACTGCACAAAGCAAAGGTGGAAAAGGAAAGACATAAAGGAAAACACTCAGCTTTGGGTATCATAATCCTTTGTTTAGGTCCCTATTCAACAAAACTTTTAATATGCCTTTCCACTTAAGCATGTACTTTGCCTCCTTTAGTAAATCTGGGTTTTATTTTGCCCCTCCAAAGTTCTGCTGTTTCCGGTAGAATAGACAGAGTCTGGGAAGAAACATCGCTTATTCCACTTGAATAGCAAGCAGAATAGCAAGTGCCCCTTTTCAGTTAGTGTTCTTGATGCAAAGTGAGGAAAAAAGAAACTTGCTCATGTCCCCTCAGTCCATTCACTATGCTAACCTTGGGCCCTATATGAATTTGACTCCTTCCTTTCCCAGTCAGTGTTGGCTATCTAGTTCAGTGTTTACAAGTAGCAAGACCTCAGTACGTCCATGTGCTGCTGTGCAGGCCAGTGAAAGTGCACTAATTAACAGGGCTATAAACAGATGCTATATTTGTCATGGGACTGGTTGTGCTGTGACTTGCCCTGCCATGAAGAAATCACTGGATTGGCATGTCCAAGTGGTTTAAAGAGTAGCTGAATGCACCCCTTCTCTTTCACTGGCAGGTGACCTGAGACACCATACACAGTCACTTGTACCATTTTTCTTCCATCAACAGGTTGTTTAAATTGTGGGTGGGATTTTGTGGGATGGATTTTGGCATGACTCTCTGCACCCTCAGGCCCTTCACTGCCTGCCTGAATTTCTGCTGCATCGTCCTACCTGCTACCAATGGTTGTGACCTGGAGCTTCCAACACCATTGGCCACTATGTATGTAATTGTAACCTTGCAGACCTTGCTGGCCTGGCATCATGAACACATGAGGGAGACTGAGCAGAAAAGATGACATTACTGAGCTCTGTTGGACGTCATTATTACTTTTATTGGTGCCAAGAATGATGGAACAGTACTCACAGAAGAGAATCTTCTGCATGTGCTTGTTGCCAAAGAACAGAGGGTCTGTGATTATGTCTGGACCCTAGTCCATGATAGCAGCCACTGCCCTAAAGATCTTTTGGCCACAGGCTATCATATTATTCCTGGGTGGATGTGGGTGCAGCTCTACACAGTGGCCACCTGAAACCATGAGCAATGGTGTGCAAAATTCTACATGTCTAAGGATACCTTCACGGGGATCTGTACCAAGCTTTCCCCACAAATAGTGACAGATAGTGGCAATGAGGGTGCTTTATCCATGGAGAAGTGCCTTGCTATCTCTGTATGGAAGCTTGTCACTGCAGACAGCCCCTTGTCCAAAGGAGGTGCCTGAAGACACCTATGGATGCCAGCATGTGCAACATACCCCAGTCCATGGTCCCTGCATGCATGCTGCACAACAGTGACTCCACGGTCCCTGTATGTATGCTCCGTCTCTTGCTCGTACCACTGCAGGGACAGCAGCCCTTTCCTCCTGTCAGTGCTATGCCTGTAAATTTTCAAACCGAGGTCAGTTGACAAGCACTGTGTGTTTTAGACATGTTGGCTGACGACTTCTGCAGATTCCACCCTAAGGGTGGTGAATCGTAATGTAAATAAAACACCATGAAAAACACAAAGAATTGAACACATGCTCTCCTGGTGTTTTCTCCAGAATCGGATGAGGCGGTGGTGAAGGGAAGAGGGAGTGCTAAGTGGGAAAGTTGAGGGTGTAAATGTTTAGATGGGTGTTGAGATGTGCTCTGGGGCTGTAACTAGGAGAGGGGAGGGAGGGGAGAAAGTGGTTTTATCTTAAGTTCTGGGCAGGAATCCAGGCATACTGGGTCCCTATGCCTTTGTAGTACTGCTACTTTGTTTTCACCTGGGTGGTGGCTAAAGTGTTAAGTGTACACTTAACTTACACCGCATCAATCACTGTCTAACTAAAGTGAGACATACAATGTAGGGTGTCTTTACATGTGCTCTGGGTGGGGTGGAGGTGCAGTGCTTTAATTAAAAAGACTCTCAGGAGTTCCTCTAATTAAAACGCTTGCAGCATCTTGTGTAATGAGCATCCAGCACTTCAGAATGGTAGTGGGGGTGTTCAACAAGCTTTAGTTAAAACATTCCCACCACCATTTTTAAGTGTGGGGACACTGAATACACTTGATTCCAAGTCCGCTGGAGCATGCTAATTAGCTTGCATTGAAACAGGCATCCGTCCTATGTATAAGTGCCCAGTATGACTGCCCTCCCTAAAATCAATGCCCATTCCCATTGTGAGGGGAGGGGAGGGGAAGGGAAATAGGGGAGGAGGAACACTTTCGACTATCTGTGCACAGATCCTCCCTCCCTGTTTTTTAAATACCATGGCCACAATTTTGAAGAGGTAAAAATTCTATGAAACAGAACAACAGATGTGTTGAAAAGGGCAAAGCAAAGAAACAGGTGAAACAGCAAACAAAGGCCATGATTAAAAAATAAATGAAAAGTAACCCCTACAAAGATTTATTTAACCCTTTACTCCCTGGTGAATGTAAGCATGCCACAGGCTACAGCAAACGCAGGCAGCATGTCCCTACATGGTAGCTATCACTGAAGGATTGCTCAGACCACAGCATCTACCTGCCTGATGATGACTGGGGTATGCTTACTAGGGCTGTCCAAAATATCACTGAGTGTTTTGTTTCGAAGCTGTTTCCACATGTTACAAGCTTGAAACAGCAAAATTGAAACAAAACAAAAAGCTCCAAAATGAAATGAGGGCACTCAAAACATTTCAAAAATTTTGAAACATTTAGTTTCAAAGCAGCCTGGTAACAGGAGGGAGGGGAGAGCCAGGGCTGCATGCTGAGTGGCTCCGCAGCCCCATGGAGTGCAGCCCTGGCTCTCCCCTGCTTCCCGTCACTGGGACAGATGACAGGAGTCTGCTGCTGCTGCTGCCTGGGGGCAGTGGCAGCATCAGTCTTCCCTAGCGCTGGGCACAGTGTGAGCCCAGCCAGTCCCAGGTGGCAGTGGCAGCCTCCTGTCATCCAGCACAGATCCAGAGGCCTGCACCCCAAGGAGGAGTCCAGCACAGCTCCACAGCCCTCCTGGGGGTGTGGTCCCCCAGATCTGCGTGCTGGATGACAGGAGGCTGCTGCTGCCAGCAAGTGTCATGAATTTTGCTTTTTGCAGTTTGAGGTGCAGCTTCTGGGAAACCTGCACACCTATCTCCGTGGAACCTGGTGGGATTCATGCCCTCTGAAGGGGCTAATGTTCCTGCAATTTTCATCTAAATCAGGCATGAAATGACAAAATTTTAGGCATTTTCATGATTCCCCATTATAGCCTAGGGCCGAAATGTTGAAATGCGTCGAAACAGCAAAACACTTTCGATAAAACAAAATGGGACAGTGCTTTGAAATTAAACAAAATGATAAAATGAAACATTGTCCCTTTGAAATGGTGAAATGGGCACTGAAACTAAACAATGGTGTTTCTCACAGCCCTAAGTTGCTTTCTCCAGCTTATGCCTTAGTAGGTCCCTGTGGCACTGTAGCCTGGTGGTAGCATGTGCCCCCAGGGGCCACCAAATGCTCCCACTTGTGGACAGAATTTCAGGGTGATGTAGAGAGTGCCAGCTGTATGTTCTATGCTAAAAATTCCTTTAGGGGTGAGGGGGCTGCTGCCACCTCCTCCCCCCCAGCCAATCCTGCATGGACTCAGGGCCCCCAGACCACCTCATGACTCACCCTTTCCCACTATGAAACAACCCTGAACTATACAAACTAAGTTTGCCAGGATGGAGGGCCAGAGTGATTGTCCAAGTGGCAGACCTAATGTTTAAAAGCCATTTTATTTCTCATATATTTGCTTGCTTGAAATGCTTTGCCTCTATTAAACTGCCTTTAGCCACACATAACGTGTTGTTTACCAGAGGGCTGAAGGTCATTTCTGCTACTTTCTTAGGTGGGGGCCAAGTTGGGAAGCTAGTGAAACTGAATGATCAAGAATGGGGGGCAGGAAACTTAGTGGCTAGGCATGAAGCCAGGACTGGTACATTATCTTGAGCACTCGGCATGAAGACAGGGCCTCAAGGCAGGACTGTTACCTGTTCTGTACACTGAGTCCATGCTGGGAGGTGACCACAAAGATGTGGGAGAGTTCCTCATAGTGGAAGCCCCTTTAAACATGCAATTAACAGATTATGAGAAGGTCTTATATTACAGAACCTGTACACTAAGAAAAAAATGCACAGTCAGCCCCAAAACATGCATTATGATCCAGGAAAAGGAGAAATTTAAACCTAATTCTTAGAATGCATTTGTCAAACCTAAGTTTTTAAATAATGCCCATCATGATGGTGTCTTATCACTACTTAAGTAGAAGTAACGGCTCTGAAAATTAATTTATGATTCTGGGAGTTCAAGTAATTTTATAGGAATTTGCCCAGGAAAGATTTAATTCAAGATAATGGTTTAAGAGTAATTTCACAAGTCATAGAGATGATGCACCTAGTATTAATGCAGTACCCCGCATTTGCAGAAGAGACATAAAGTGCAGTCAAGAGATAGCCAGATCTGTTTGCTCTCAAGCAAACTAGCTGGACATGTCCCAAACATTCAATCATTTTTGACCTAGAGATACCATGAATTTATAACCAGCTTCCTTATTTCAGTTCACTGGCTTTATTTCAGATTGCAGAGCTGTTTAAAGTGTTCCAATCCATGAGTTTAGTAACTTAGGCCATAAATCATAATGCATGATATTTTGTCTTATAATGATTGAGAGGATTTCCTCAAAGCTTGTTGTTAACACTCTTACTGAATTCATTCTCCTCTTTTTTCCTGATACCTTTTACCTCCCTGAAAAATATAACTTCTCTAATTTTCCTTTTGCACAATTGGACGGTGAAATTCCTTTATTCCTTTCTATATGTCTGTGGATCCATCCCAAAGAGAAGCACACCTTGTTTATATCTTATGCCCTCATGTTTCATTCAAAAGAATGGTTCCTTAGATTTCAAATGCATATTATGAAATGCATTAAAATTAGTTAAATTGATAACGTTAATCAAAACAGTAAACAAGATGGGTAATACATATGGAGTATGTCTACATGTGTGCTTTAATATGCAGTAGCCTATTCTACTGCCCATTAGAGTGTTATGGCAAAAACTGTGCTAATACAGCTAATACTGCACGGCTACGGCTACTGCACATTAAGCGGCACCAGAAAAGCATAAGCTTTCATTACAGCACATTAGGGCAGCTTAATGTACATTTAGTTAATACCTCGTATTAGAGGTACTAAATTTAATGTGCAGTAGCAAAAGAACATTCATGAATGTGTAGATGTACCCAATGGGTGTGTCTATACAAGATGCTTTAGTGCATGTTAGACTAATGTAATGCACAGTAAAGCATCGCTGTCTATACATGTGGGATTTACTGCACAGTAAATAAGGCTAATGTGGTTTGCTAGTTTCAAGAAATGCAGGTACTAGATTAACTGTGCATAAGCTACTGCACAGTGCTGAACATGTATATGCACATGTAGATGCAATTTGCTCCTGGTCAGCCTAGGCAGCAGGGGGCCACTGGGGTGGTCGTGGGGAGGGACGGGGAATGGAGGAGCTCTCTATCCCTAGTCCCAATGCTGCTCACCTCTCATCTCCCCCCAGGAGCACTGGGATTGGGGAGTTCTCTGTCCCTGCAGCAATGGGTCAGGGACAGAGAGATTCCCCATCCCCTTAGCAAGCAAAGTGAGAGGAGAGCTCAGGGGAGCTCACTGCCTGCTTGGCCATGGGACATCACCCCAAGCCAGCGGCACGAAGCCAGGCTGTGATCCCAAGCTCCACATGGCTGGGAGCTTTCCCTCACTCCAGGACAGTTTTCCTCTGCTCCACAGAACCCAGGCCTGACCCCTGTGCTCCATGGAGCTTCCCTTGGCTGCTGCAAAAAAGAGGCCAAGCAAGGTAGCCAGGCAGAAGCAACCCTGGACTCAGCTGCTTCTGTTGGGATGAACTTGTTCCCAATGCAGATGCACGTAGACATGTTCCCAGGTGCAGTTTATTGCATCTTATTTTAATGCACAGTAACCTAATTGCACATATGCCCAGTAACAATTTGCTTTTAATTATTTGCATTACCTTAGTACCTAGGAGTCCTAATTATGGACCACAACTGTATTGTGCTACTTGCAGTACAATCCCAGAACAAAAAGATGGTCCCTTCCCTAAATAGCTTACAATCTAAGCATAAACCAAGAAACAACAGACTGGATATAGTTTGGGGAATGCAAGAATATGAGACAATTTACCAAGCAGTGGTCTCAGCAAATCAGCTGCCTTCCCATTACCAGGCAGGAGATGCGAGCCCCATCATTAAATCCATGGTTGATGTTTCTTGGAGCAAGGACAACCTCCCCATTGTATTAGGTGCAGTTTAGAAGAAACCCTCAACACAGGAGGGGTCACCTGTGAAGCCAACCCCTCGCATACCTACACATATACCACCCAATATGGTGTCTACCAAGGTCCCAAATCTTGCACAGGTGTAGCACAACCCTGTTGAGCTCATGAGACATTGGAAATCTTGAATTATCCTTTGAAAACGGAACGTACTCTTATTGGACTCAATGGGATAAATTCTGCTGTCTTACACTAATGGGATTCAAATGTAATGAATCAAATGAACAATTGACCTTCTTAGAGATTTGCCTTAGCAGGGCTACTGCAGAACTTGGCCTTCTTGAGCAAATTTGTACTGTATAGAGTTCCATTGGGAATTGTGGGTAGGAGTAAGTGTGTACATAGGAGCAAGGCTTTTCAGGATTGAGATTTTATCATTGTCAGTATTATCATTTTGATTGAATTGGCAACAGATTTCTGCAGGTTCTCCATGTTTGTCAGTTACTCACCTACCCTTTCCCCACCTGCAGGTGGAGTGTCCACACAGGCAAATCTTCAGGGCAGCATCCTGCCCACAAACTCAAGAGTTAATTCAGTACTACGTCTGCTGTAATTTGTAGTCTGAGGAGAAAAACAAACAGCCATCAATACAGCATGACACGCCATTTCTAGTGTTAAAAAGAGGATGTAATTCCTGACTTGCTCTGCTATTAATTTCAATTTTTTTTTGGTACTTACACACCTACTGACAAGTAATGACCAATTCTGCTATATTTCATTACATTATTCTGTTTTGTATGAGGTAGAGCAGACTGCTGAATGAAACCTTGTCAATGAAGGCTTGTATTATGCAGACTATTTCCATGTCAAAAGCTTCTTTCCCTTGACCACTGTTTAAAACTGTAGTATGGTAGCAATAATAACTACTTGCTGTGACAATTTTCCATGAATTTATAAGAGGAGGTTGACATGAAAATTGAACAGTATTAATCTCTTGTTCTACATGTAATTGTCGTAGGCAGGCGGCCTTCCCTTTTATTTGCTATATTTTAATATATGCTATACTGTGAATAATTAACTATAAATGCAGGGGGAAGCTTTCTTGGAGGCTTTTGAGCTTTGTTTACTTTACTTTAAAATGGTTTATGGTAGAATAAAAATTTACAGTGTTCTAACCTATGAAAATGTAATCAGTTGTAAAATATCTTCCTAATTGAATTCAGAGCACCCAGTTACTTTCAAGTTATTACATATCAGATTTCATTGTCAGAAATATACTGAGGACACTATGTATCCAGGGTGAATGTGACAGAGAGATATGTGTGCTGCCTCTTGTTGTGCCACTAATCTAACTTATATTTGGGACACATTTTATTGTAGGAAGACCCACTAAATGTCTTTTAAAGGTTCTGTTTATGGATTTTGCCAGTAAAGTGTTTTTTTTCTGAGTACTTTTCTTCCTTCCTTATAAATCCTTTTGTTATACAATAAGATAGTTGGATATAAGATTGTGTAGGGGGGGTGATAAGAAATAAAAAGGGGGTGCAAATCTCTTTGCCCGTTTACACCCTTAAAAAAACCCTGATTAGCAGAAGACTGTTTTAAAACTCTTTGATTTAAAGATGTCTTAAAGCAAGCAGGGGTTTGCTTGATATGCTGTGAAAGTAGAAGAGATTCAGAGCTTTGAGAATGAAGATTCTACTTCAATTGAAATATCAATTTGTTTCAAAGCCATTGGGACAAATACATCTGGCAACACTTGTGCCCATACTGTAAATGCAAAGCCTACTGGGAAGCTAAAATTGCACACATGTTTAATGCCTGCTGATTGTTTTTCCATTAACCTAAAGTGAACTGGTCCCTCTTCTGATGTTTGTTGCTGAGTAAAGGAAAAATAAGCTCATGCACTGCTTTTTTTGTATTAAGAGTTCTTATAAATTTATCATGAGCTCAGTTAGGCTCCACCATGGCGGCAGCCTGTGGCTGCAATATCCCAGGGCAATGCAAAGAGGCATTCTGTTATAGGCTTTTCATCACTGTGTAGAGCAGAGGTGACTGACCCACAACATATGTACCAGGGGCAGCTGCAGCGTGTAGCATGCAAGTCCTGGGCACTCAGTAGGAGTTTCCAGAATGGAAGCAGTTGAGCTCAAGCCTCTGGCCACATGGTTTGGGAACAAGATACTGATGCAAGAGGGAGTGTCAATAGTCACCACCAAGAGCAAGATTTACCCTTCCCTGTGTCTGTATCTGCTACCATATTCAGAACTTTGAATCCTCACTTACCATGTAAAACTGCTGCAGTTATCAAAGGGACCAGGGAAAGGTTAACCTGGCTCTTGGCAGTCTTATATCAGCCTTTCCCTCTTTGGAGTGCTGCTGCCTCTTAGTAGGGTCAGACAATACTGGGCAGCTCCTTATTTCTTAGCCTGGTACTGAGTGCCCATGTGCATTACATTAGAGATGGTCTGGCCCTGTGTTGGCTAAAAAGATTTGCAAAGTACTTTACAACATGCTTAAGTCTGACCCTCTTGAGAAAAGCAGTAAGCATCTGCTGAAAATTTCATGGAAGTCAATGGAACTTAAACACTTACTTAAGTACTTTTCTTAATAAGTACCTTATTTTCTAGCTTTGGAGCAAAAGTTAATGTCCAATACCTTCTACAGTTCTATTCTTGACTCAGTCTTCAATTTTCTCTGTGGCCTTTGGGAGCTTGCTTAGTTTCTCTGTACCTTCCTCATCTGTGAAAGCTATTTATCTCATGATTGTATAGTGCTTTGTATCTGAGCACCTTTCATTCAACTTTGGTACCAATAACAAAGTCCCAGGAGATGTCATGAAGCCTCTGGCATATATCCCTTTCCGTTTTGGTTTGGGTTGTTTCTTTTCTTTTCTTTTCTTTTCTTTTCTTTGTTTTTGTTTTTTGTTTGTCTGGTTTTTTTGCTTACCTGAGGATTTGGGGGCAGGAGGACATAACACTTCCTACAGAGCTATATGTATAGACTTAGCTATGACCCTAGAGAAACACACATAACTTGGTTTGTGTTATATCAATGAAAATTTCACCAGGATCAGGAGTAGAGAGACCTGGTAACTTGCACAGGAGGCCACTATTCCTGGGAGTCATTGCTAAGTAGCAAGGGAGCAGATAAAGACAGTTTGCCTTTATCAAACAGCCACCCTTGGATGGATACAGATAGACACAAGGTAAAACGGAGTACATTAGATGTTTGCTGTGCACTTGCCTATTTAACTGCCCAATAAATATCTCACCATCTGCATGTGCACCCTTATTAGGACACACAAAACTAATAAACTCTGCAGCAGGAGAGGGCTTGTAAATAAGTACTAGCCTGCTGTGGATTTTTCTTGTGCACAGCGGTATAGATGCTGAAACAGCTGGTTGGGGCACAAAGGTACTTCAAGTTGGGAGCTGCCTGCCAGCTAGCCCCACACTGAAGCACATGCATGCCCCAACCAGCCTCTGTGCAGTACTCTGAGCTGCGTTGGAGCAGCCCCAGGCTGGCAGGCTGACTTTCTCTCCCCGCCTCCCCACCAGCCAGGGCTTCTGAAACCTGGCTCAGTGTGCTGCAGTCTGGGTGTACATGCAGATGCATGCTCAGCAGCAATAAGCTGATTTGGAGCTTATTGCTGCATGCTAATAGGCACGTATAGACTGCCCAAATAGTTTTACCCTGACTCAGGGACAGATCCAGAGGAGTTCAGAGGTGTGGTTGCAGCCCACCTTGGTTGGCTGGACAATCAATGGTGATGTTGACCCCTGGCTTCCAGAGCCATGGTAGAGCTCTGATTCTGGTAGGGGCTGCTTTAACAAGCACCGTCTCTTCCTCTGGACCACCCATTTTTGAGTCATTCAGGGATAATTCTCTATATCACCAGGCAAAGTAACCCTGTTTAAAGCTTTAGATTGTCCCTCTGCAACTTTCTCTTTCCAGGTTTAAACATTTCTGGCCAGATCCAATATTCATAACCAGCATTTGGATCCTTAGAAAATAAAAAAGTCTTGGCCAAATGTTAAGATCTAAAGTTAGGCCTTTAATGCCATATTTTAATAGCCACGACAGTTGTCTAATTTTCAGCAGTGCAGAACAGTTGCCATTCCTATTGATGTCAGTAAGAATCTTGAGTGCTTGGCAGTCATGTAGGCTATTCATGCAGGTGCCTAGCTTCATATGTCCAAATTTTCAAAGTATTGTTAAGGCATTGTTTTCCTTCCTGTTGCATACTGGCAGATTTAAAAAGGGAAACTAGCTGCTTTAATTATACTCAAGAGCCAGAACTGTGATATACGCTTGTACCTGCTGGTATGGTTTTACAATGAAAAGATGCCCAGTGTAACAGGTGCAACAAAGCGCTCTCAATTTAGAAGTGATAGCTTATTCTTTTTTTGCTTCAATTGATTGTTTTGGATAAATGTAAAAATTAATGAAATTTTGTAACAAAGGGATTTTTCTTGCATATAAAATGGCTGACACCTGGATAGGATGACTGCCAATTTAATGGGGGAATTAAACCGGTGGCCTAATAGTGCTGTAAATTATTTATGGTTCAGAGTAGCATGAAATTTAGTCATGCACCATCCTTGGTCACCAACATATTGCTCTGCAGACATCTGAACATGACTGCATTTTTTTGCTTTCTCCATTGTATGTTAAAAGCTTGTAAATGGAAATATTTAATAACTCCTTTGATCTGCTGGCAAAGGGCCCAGCTTTACTACCCTTATTCATCCTTAGCAGTCCCCTTAGTCAGTAAGTAGTCTCAAGGACTGCTTGCTGAGTAAGAACTGTGCAAGTTGAGGAAGAATGGCAGAGTCAGTGGTAGTGATGTGTTCCATCACTATTCCATATGTGCTTTTAAATATTTAATCAATATAGGCTCAATTATGCTTTTAAAGCTCTAGGAAGAGCAACAAGAGTCATTTTGTCAGAGAAACACCACCACAGAATTCTTTGAGTGCACCAGGGTGGGAGACTAATATTTGACACCCCTTAAAACAGGGCATCATGCTATGCTGTGTGGTCAGACAGTTCTGCTCTACCCTTACTACTCCTTCCTGACTCCTTTTCAGTGGGCATGTCTACATGAGACATTTACTGTGGAGCTGCCTAATTAGCTCTTGTAGTAAATGTCTCAGTGTCTACATGTGAACCCCATTAGGCCGCAGTAAACTAATAAGCTCTGCCACAGGTTAGTACTTGTACATACAAGTACTATCCTGCTGCAGGGTTTTTTAGTGCACACCAACACACATGTAGACACTTACCCAGCTGCCTGGGGCATTAGCTAGTCCCACACTAGAGCAACCACATCCCCCAGCCAGCCTCTCCACAGCACACTGAGCCAGGTCGGAGCAGCCCCGGGCTGGCAGGCTGATCCCTCAGGCCCCTTGCCAGTCAGGGCTGCTGCAACCCTGCTCAATGTGCTGAGGTCCCGGCTGCATATTCAAACAGTGCTCCTGGGAGCAGTAAACTCTGCTCCAATATGCATCAGAGTTTATTACTGCACATTAATAGCACAAGTAGACATGCACAGTGAGTTCCTTTCAGGAGAAAGCATCATGATAGTTCACTCTGTGATTCTGTGTAGCCATTCTGGGTATATACAGATGTTCAGGGAGCTTTGGGGGAGGTTAGGTTGCATTAAAAATGGCCATTCAATCTAACTTAGTTTGCTCACCTGGGACTTTATACTTAGATCCCTAGTTAGGTTATCCCTAAGTCTGAACTGTACAGCAGTTCAAGACAGATAGATCAGTCTAAAAATGGCCGACCCAATCTGTGTTAAGTGTACCTCCAAGGTAGTATAATTTATATAGGGTCCAGCAAGACTGATTTAACCAAACTTCTGTACAGTTCCCAGAGCAGCCTGGAACTGGGAAAGTCCAGCTACTGGCCCCAGCCCCGGGGCTACACTTTCCCTACCCATCCCTCACCTCCAGTACTGGGCTATTTTTAGCCCACTGTCCCCCACTACAGACGAGCCAGCCTCCCCCATGCCAGTTTTTACCAGTGTCAGGAGCTGAGGAAGGAAATTGGGGTGGAGGGGGTGGGCACGATGGGGGCATTGGTTGGCCAGGGGGTTGTTTGTATGGGGGTGGAGGTGTTCAGGGGGCTAAAAAATCCCTCTAGGATCCCACCAACCCCCTGTGGACTCTGCTTGCCCCCACCCCCCAAAGCTTGATTTCCTCCCCAGAGCTTGATTGCCATCCCAATCATTCCCACCTCCCCATCCCAATTTACCTGAAATCAGATGGCCATTTTTAACTTCATCCAACCTCCCCCTAATCTCCCCAGATGTCTGTATGTACCCTGTGATACCCACAAAAGGTTCTCTTTCCTTATGAATCTGTAAGTCTGTAAGAAATAATCTAGCCCAGTGTAAGATCCCTTTTTCAAGTCATGGTAGTATTGTACAAACATCCTTGTAAAACAGCAATCTCTAAGCCAAATTAATGTTCCGTCTTAAGACTTGAATACATTGTTGAATAAAGATGGACTAAAGCATGTTTAAGGACATGTTTCATATTTTTTGGACTTAAGGTCTTATGAAAAGAATAAGGAAAATGTGAGAAAATCCAGTGTGACCATAACTTCCACAAATATAACGTCAATTCTGGACCTGTTATGATTAATTCTTATTTTCTTATATTTCTGTTACATAGTATGTCTTCTCAGTCTGCTATGAAAAAAAGTAATTCATCCTCCCCCAACCCCAGCTGTGAGTGAGAAAGCATGATAATGCCTTGATATGGGAAAGAGGCTCCTTGATTATTTTTCTTCTCATTTTTTTAGCATTATAAAATATACCTTTCAAATAATGGTTATTGAAACAAGGCTTGGATATAAAAATGGGATTTTTTTTAATACCAAAAGAGAAAATAAAGCATAAAACAAGACTTCAAAGAAAGAAACAAATATGATCAAGGTTAAATTAATCAATTTAGAAAGAATACATCTTCTAGCACTTAGTACTTAATATACTGAAGTTCAGAAATATGTAATTAGCATATAAAAGGCCAACCAATTATCCATATGAACTTAAGTTATATTTAAAGCAATGCTTAAACTAATATACATTGCTAATAGGTTACGGGAATTGGGCTTTGTTCCATATGGTACTGTTAACGCATCCAAAAATAATACACGAGCTCAATCACTCAGTACTGGCACCCAAGTTTCTGTTATTTTTACTAATGTACAGCATGCAGTACCTCATTTTACCAATGTAAAACATTAGATGTTTTTCTTCCCTACTTATACTAAAATGAATTTTTAATATAAATAAAAGAGAGGCCTTGAAACCTAAAATAAAAATAAAAGCTTGCAAATCTTTTATCTTTTCTCTGTGAGTCTGTTTTAGTCCTTGACACATCAGAAAAATAAGTGATTTTTTTAACAATAAAAAAATGGAAGTTAGAACTCCTACCTCACTTTTTTCCCATACCAAATGGAATGGTGTAGATTACCATTGAAACAGATACCATACCATCCATAGACAGGTCCCGTGGATGAGTCAGCAGTGCCCTGGTCCCTTGCCTGTGGGGTTTGCTTGGCGGGACCTTTGAGGCCTGGGGCTAGTGTGGGGGCTGGGGGTTCCCTTGCCTTTCCCACGTGTCTGGATTGAGGCCCTGGAGGGACAGGTGAGGGAACTCCAGGCAGAGGTGAACAGGCTGTGGGGGATCAGGGCAATCGAAGAAGAGATTTATGGCTACTTTCATTCTCTGCAGGACAAAACTACTGGTAGAGAAGCTGCAAGGGAATGCCCTGAAGCAGATGCTGGTGAGTGGAGGGTGGTCATCTCAAGGGCCAGATCTCTCGCCTCAGCAACAGCTCCCCTGGTGCTGTTGGGGAACAAATATGAGGCCCAGCCTGCAGTGGAGGAGTGTGCAGTGGTGGAAAGTGCATTGAAGGGGCCTGCCACCATCACCAAGTGAGCTGACAGCCAGCCAGGGAAGCAGAAGAAGAGATGCCGCATCACCATTGTGAGCAACTCCTTGCTGAGAGAAACAGAGGGACCCATCTGTCTTCTGGATCCCACAGTACATAAGGTCTGCTGCCTGCCTGGAGCCAGGATCAGGGACATCATGGCGAGAATTTCTGGCCTCATCTGGCCCTCTGACAACTATCCCATGGTCCTCATCCATGTGGGAACAAATGATGCAGCCAGGAGTAGTCCAGAGTGTATCATGAGTGACTACAGGGGTCTTGGGACCAGGCTTAGGAAGACAGGGGTGCAAGTGGTTTTCTCATTGATCCCCCCGGTTATTAGTCTTAGTAGGCATCATGTCACCTGTGTCAGGGAAGTCAACTGCGGCTCCGGAGTTGGTGCTTTTGTGCAGGTTTTGTCTTCCTGCACCACAATCCACACTTCTGTGCAAGGGATCTCCTGGGACATGATGGCCTTCATCTCTTCACAAAAGGTAAGAGTCTCTTTTCTTACAGGTTGGCTGACCTCCTACGTCGGGCTTTAAACTAAGTACGACAGGGGATGGAGAGAGACTAGAACCTACAAACTGTGACATATGCAGCAGTGCACCCCAGGTAAGTACCAAGGGGCCCTTTGGGCATTAGAAGGGGCAGGGGGGCACACCAAAGGCACCATTCAGAGGGCTCAAGTGCCTCTATACTAATGCTAAGAGCATGGGGAACAAGCAGGAAGAACTCACACTTCTGTTTGCAGATAATAACTTTGATTTAGCAGGGCTAACCGAAACCTGGTGGGACCCTACCCATGACTGGGTAGTACACAAGGAGGGCTACAGGTTGTACAGAAGGGACAGAGTAGGGAGGAAAGGGGGTGCTCTCTCTGTAAAGGAGCATTATACATCTACCCTAATCGAAATGGGATCAGAGGAGGAGAAAGTTGAGGCATTGTGGGTTAGGATACATGGAGATCATGGGGAAAGGGACTTGGTGGTGGGGCTCTGCTACAGACCATGACACCAAGAGGAAAAGCTAGACTTGGAATTCTTGAGGCAGCTCTCGAGACTGTACAGTCTAGCGACATGGTTGTCATGGGGGACCTAAACTACCCTGACATCTGCTGGGATGAGTAGTTAGCCAACTCCAACCATTCACGTAGGTTCTTAACCTGCATGCAAGACCTTCACCTAATGCAGGAGATATACAGGCCCACTAAGGCTAGACTTGCTATTGGCTATGGGGGAGGACCTAGTAGGGGAGCTGCAGGTCTGTGATCACCTTGGGGACAGTGACCACCAATCAATCAAATTCACCATACAGTACAGGGTAGGTAAGATACCTAGTAGGGTGGAAGTGCTTGACTTTAGCAAGGCTAACTTCAATATGCTTAGGAGTCTAGTTACTGCAGGAGAACAGTATAGGCAAGATGGGAGTACAGGAAGGGTGGTCGTTCCTAAAGGAAGTGATCCTTCAGGCACAGAGGGAGACTATCCCAGTACGAGGAAAAAGGGGGAAAGGAGCCAAAAAACTTCCTTGGCTAAACAGGGAAATCCAGGGAGGCCTAAGGGCAAAAAAAGAAGGCATATAGGCAGTGGAAGCAGGGTAAGCTACCAAGGAAAAGTATACCTACTTGGCCCGCACTTGCAGGGATGCAGTTAGAAAGGCCAAAGCAACTACAGAGCTGAGGCTGGCAACACAAATTAAGAACAACAAAAAGTCTTTTTTAGGTATGTAGGGAGTAAGAGAAAGGCACAGGGCAGCATAGGACCCCTACTGAACAATAAGGAGCAATTAGTGACAGAGAGGGGGGACAAGGCTGAGCTATTCAATGATTTTTTTGCCTCAGTGTTCCTGAACAGGACTCAAGGTAAGTCTCCTAATGGGTTCTTAGATGGGGATCAGGGGGACACCAGACTACCAACTGTCGACACTGACATGGCGCAGAGTCACTTGGATGGACTGGTTGTGTTCAAGTCTGCAGGCCCGGATGAGTTCCATCTGAGGGTACTGAAGGAACTGGCCAGTGTCATAGAAGAACCATTGGGATGGCTGTTTGAGCACTTGTGGTGCTTGAGTCAGATCCCAGAGGACTAGAAAAGGGCCACTGTGGTCCCTATTTTCAAGAAGGGGAGGAAGGAGGATCCGAGTAATTGTAGGTGAGTCAGTCTCACCTCAATCCTTGGAAAGGTCTTTGAGAAGATTATGAAGGATCGTATTTGTGGGAGTCCAGCAGGAAAAATAATGCAGCACGGAAACCAGCATGGATTTGTAGCAGGTAGATCATGCTTGACCAATCGGGTTTCATTTTACGACAGGGTCACAAAATGCTTAGATGCAGGAGTAGAGATGGATGTTATTTTCATGGACTTTAGTAAGGACTTTGATACTGCATCTCATCCTATTCTCATAAATAAATTAAGAGGCTGTGACATAGATGTTTACACAGTCTGGTGGGTGGCATATTGGCTTAGCAGTCACACCCAGAAAGTAGATGGGTTGGTATCGACCTGGAAGGATGTGGGTAGTGGGGTCCCGCAGGGTTTGGTCCTTGGACCTGTACTCTTCAATGTCTTCATCAGTGATTTGGATGTGGGTGTGAAGTGTACTCTGTGCAAGTTTATGGATGATCCTAAATTGTGGAGTGAGGAATACACTCTGGAGGGTAGGGAATGATTGCAGGCAGACCTGGACAGGTTGGAAAAGTGGGCAGAACACAATAGGATGCAGTACAACAAGAACAAATGCAAAGTACTGCATCTAGGGCGCAAACATATCCAGCACACCTACTGGCTGGGAAGTGACCCACTCAGCAGCACAGAAGCGGAAAGGGATCTCAGAGTCATAGTGGACTCCAAGATGAACATGAGTTGTCAGTGTGATGAAATCATCAGCAAAGCTAACCACATTTTATCATGCATAAGCAGATGCAAATTCATTAGGGAGGTGCAGCAAGGGATCCGAGATGCTCTGTTCACCAGGGCGCTTCTTGGGGTAACAAGGAACAATGGTCACAAACTGACGGACAGCAGATTTAGGCTAGATATCAGGAAAAACTTCTTCACAGTAAGGGTGGCCAAAATTTGGAATGGGTTTCCAAGGGAGGTGGTGCTTTCCCCTACCTTGGGGGTCTTTAAGAGAAGGCTGAGTAGGCATCTGGCTGGGGTCATCTGAACCCAGCACTCTTTCCTGCCTAGGCGGGGGGTCGGACTCGATGATCTGTTGAGGTTCCTTTCGACCCTAGCATGTATGAATCTGTGAATCTATGAATAAGAAATTAAATATATCTTTCATGGTTGGTAGAAAACAATAATAAGCTGCAAGACACATTTTAAGGAATTTTATAGCAAATCAATGACTGGCAGCGTTTAAAAAGGTTGAAACAGGGGGATTGAAGTCACTAATTAAAAATAACCCCATAGAATTAATGGAAAAACAAAACCATAATAGGTTCTGCATAGATAAGCAGGTTATCTATAACTATCATTGTCTGGAATGTCTTGGCTCTCCTTCTTTAGTTTACATTATTTAATTTTTCTTGAAAGTCATTCTTCCTTCTCATCTTTTTCTGTTAAATTAACCTGGAAATTCACTCTAAGTGGGACTTTTTACAGATAACTAGTCCAATTTGTTCTCTAAAGCATCATGTACAGCCTTTGGTAGTATGCCTTGTAATGCATCAAGAATACTCCCAGGAGTCACTTTGGGAGTGAGTATTGAAAAGGAAGAGATGGCAACAGTCTACTTCAGTCAATTCAGTGGCTTAGGGCACAATAACAGGAAGGTGAATGTAATGGAAGCTGAAGTGCAAGAAAATCGCTCTTCCTTGCTATTTAAGCACCACTTCATATGTCAGTGGGAGTAGCCATTTCAATGAGCTTGGTTATGTATCAGTAAAGTCTTCAAAATAGGACCTGAGTGATACTTCACATATTTCATGCTGTCCCATTTCATGGACATAAATATTATGCTGAAGAAACAGAACTTCAAGGCATAGAAGTAAGCATTTTATTACCAAAACTTAAATACAGAGAGAAATTACTACAAAGTGATCTTCCTGTAAAATACATAGAGCAAGGTTTCCTAGTGTTAGAAACACATACATTAATAATTGGCACTAATATTGATTAATGATATATTATTGACATGAAGATTGAGTGAGACTGAAGAGAAATACATCAGGTTTGCCAAGATTCTGAGTTTAAAAAATGTTAAAATAGTCTTTGGAAAATTCTTAGTAGACAGCAGTTCATGATAATAACAAACAATGTTAACAACCAAACATTAAAAAAACATAAATACATGCACAACACATATTTTAATCCAGCAATGATAGCTTTTAGTGACCTATTTTGGCACTGGTAGTTATTATGATTAGTATCAGCTTGGTTTTTGATTACTTGAGCTGTTGTGAATATTTGGCTTATTTAGTAACAATGTGGCTCAGAGCTGAAAATAAGGAGTTTGGGAAGATTTAAAAACTGACAAAAGTGGAAGTTTTATGGAAATGTCCAGCAAAGCTTGAATTATGCATTTAATGTTTGTGCTTATGCCTAACCAATTAGGTTATTTGTATTCTTAATGCCGAACTGAATTGCTCCTTTTCTTTTGGCAATATAGAATGAACAATGTCTTGCAAATGAGAGAGAGAGAAAGAGAGCTTTGTCCAACCTTGAAATATGGAATTAATATGAACTAAGTTAAATACAGTGATCTAAATTAAATTATTACAATGCACTGTGAGTATTAAAGCCCTTGCTGGCACCTTTTAATTAAATCTGTCATGTATTTCTGCTATGTAGCTCAGTAATAGTAATACAAAAAGAACTTTGAAGTCATAAGCGTTCTTTGGAGAGTTGCATTCCTTTAAGTTTTCTTGACATGAATTACTCAGAATATAAAATTCACACTAGAAATGAAAATAACCCCAAGTAGTTATGTAGTGAAGCAATAAATAGTTTGTACAGTCTATAATTTCTGAGAAATATTTTGTAATATTTTTATTTGTAACTACTCCATTTATATCTCAAGTATTAGAAGTCTTTCTCCTCTGTGGGATTAGTCAAAGTGATTCTTGTGTCTTCTCTCTATTACACTATACAAACAGATTTGAAGGAACAGCTTAGTCTTTACTGTCCGTTAAGGTATATGAAGTGAGCAAGCTACCAGTAGTTTTGTTCTATGACTTATGATTCAGGCATTTTTTATTTCTTCTTCCCACCATGATATGCAATCTCTCTCTCTCCTGCTCGCTCTCATTTTTTTAAAAGTTTGCCTACGAAGAGATTAGCTGATTGGTACTAAAATATTCTTGACAACTGAGAATTTGGACAGATGTGGCTTCTTGCCAGCTCAGAGCACTGTAAACAATTCTCCTGTTCCTCTTTATTCTGGATTGCTTTTTCAAAATGAAGCCACTGACTGGGCACTAGTGCTCAATGTGAGCCGTATGTAAAGTGATAAACAAAAAGTATTCATGGGGTGGTGAAATATGGAGTTTGATTTGCTTTTTCATATCTTTCCT